GGGGGGGGCGCCAGAAGGAAGCCTCACCTAGCGTGCAAAAAAACCTGGAGCCGGCCCTGTGTACACTGAGCTCTCAGAACAAGAAACGCTCTAATTGTTCGGTGAAAAAAGGTTTCCATCTTTGCAGGTGCCACCATATAGGGAACAGATTTAATAGCAGCATTTTCACCTTTAAGTATTTATAATTAGGGCAAAAGCTACTTAGACAAAGAAGAGAATGAGAAGAATGAATGGGAATTAAAACAACCCCTCACTTGCCGATACTACCTGCTGGGAATATCAATAGTAAAAATTGAAGGAAAAAGTTTGTGAAGAAGACAATGAGTATGAGTCAGCCAAAGTTAAACACTGTTAAGTATTATTGATTTACCAGGAAGAGTAAGGCATGCTTAAACCAGAGAACAAATCAACAAAAGGCATGCTTAAACCAGAGAACAAATCAACAAACAGACTTCAGAGAGGATTTTAAATTGGGAAATATTGTGAATCAGGTATTTTTGTCCAACCAATATTTGAAAATAATGGAATTCAGAAAAAAATTTTCCTTAGCTACAGGGAAAAGGTAATCTGGTCATTAAATCAACCACCCATCTTTATATCTGCAGACCAGAACCATTGTATATGAAGTACAAACATTTGGTGAAACATTGAGATTTTACTTGAACAGATGAGGGCTATTTGATAAGAACATAAGAACATAAGAGAAGCCAATGTTGGATCAGGACCCAGCTGAGCTCTGAGAAGGAGCAGGAGATAGAGCTGCTAGGGCGGTGAGTGTTTTTTTTTTACTTACTTTCAGCTGAGGTGATTTAGCTGAGAGGGTACTGTGTGGGGGACTGTGTTTGGGAGTGTGTGGGTGAGTTGTGAGTTGTTGCAGAGTCCTGGCTGCCTGAGATAGGGTGTGAAAGGGTAATTGTTTGAATGTAATTGAGTGACTGGGTGAATTTGCATAGCTGCTGGCCACACCCTCTGCTGAGGAGAAGCTTCTATTTAAGGCAGCACTTTGCCAGAGGCACGAGGCTCTGGCACAAGCCAAAGGGTGACTGACCTGGAGAAGCAGAGACAGTCAGTGGGGATGTGGGGAAATGCAGCTGCGAGGTCCTGGAGGAAAAA